GTCTCTGTGTAACACAAGAAAGTGTAACTTATAGGTTAAGGCTGCCAACTCAGAAACTTGCCACGCAGAAATGATAGCGATGAGAAAGAAAATCTTCTAAGTGAGAGTAGATAGCAGAATATCCGTGACAGGCTCAAAGAGAGGTGTCTGCAGAATCTACAGAACCAAGTTAAGATCCCATGGACCCACCGGCAACTCGCACTATTGTTGTGCATATTCTCTATGCAGCTAAATTGTTGATTACCCGTAGATGGTTACAAACAAAAGATGAAAAGATGTTTGCCATGAAAAATAACTCATATCCTATATTCCTTTCAGTTTGGAGAAAATGGATTGTACATCCATACTGCATTGTTTGATCTCAAATATTGCCTGACGCATAACTGGTCCATACCTTGTCTTCCCTCCTTCCTCCCCTCCTCTCTTTCCACTTGCTTTGTCATCCTCCCTTCCTCCTAACCTCCCTATAAATGGAAATTATATTGCAAAGCATACTGTATCCTGGATGTTAAGTTGGTTATGTTATATGCATTTTGTTATGTATGCTTCACTTGACTTCAATAAAGAACTATTGAAAGTTAAGATCCCATGGAGTCACTGGGGAACGCACAGGTGGAACTATGTGCGCAACAGTCTATACAAAGGCAAACAGTCTTTGAAAACCAATTGCTAGAGAGGAGATTTGACCCTTGATAGTATTTAAGGTCAAATGTTGATGCAGACCAGACAAGAGAAAAGACAAGATTTGTCCCATAAAATACTTCTTAGGAAGTATTAGCATTATTATTAGCATTATTATTAGCATGGTACACTAGGTCTGTGACAGCCAGGCCGTGAAAGCTAGTGACTGAGAAGCAGGCTGGTAAACCAACTAGTTCTTAGGAAAGAATATTCAAATTATGAATGTCCAATGTCCTAAAGACAGCAGAATAACAATATGTACCTAAATTACACCCCATGTCCCTGTGTACGATTTAGAAATATGACTTTGGTTGGTGATACTGCAGGCCAAGGCAGGGAATTCAATATCACATCCATTTCCCGTGGGGGGAATTTTCTGAAATCTAAGAATTTCCTTTGGACTTCCAACCATAACTTTGGTTTTGGATTTGGATAGAGGGTGGAAGAGTTAGAACTTACATCACATTTTTTCACTGTGTGTCCTCATTGAGGGCATTTCCCCTCACTTCTTGTCCATGACTGGAGCTCTGCTTCTAGGTAAAGTTAACCTCTGTTCCACTGAGCACACGGATAGTAGTATCACTTTTTTAATAGAGTGGGGAAGAGTTACAACCTTTGTAAGGCTTTTTTTTAAAAAACAATGTATTTTTATTAAGTATAAAGAGCAGGCGCATACAGAGTCCAAAACAGTAGGTTGAATACACGTCTACATAACAGTAAGATCGGTAGTTTCAGAGGACTTATCAGCCTGCATGTACAAACAGTCACCTCAATATGGTAGTCAGTGGAAAGAAACAGGCCTAAACCTCAATATAAGTAGGGACACTTAATGTCAAAAAATAAATAAGAAAGAGAGGAAGAGAGAGAGGGGAAGGCATAGAGTATCATGCCTATCCCTCAACACTGCCTGAGGTATGAACTGCGCGTAGATACTTTAATTATCTGGAAGGGGATAAGGATAGGGAGCTAAACATGTAGGGGGAGGGAAGGACAAGACTATGGAAAGGGTCTATGTAATTTACCATATTACCTGAATGTAAATTAGACTTTAAAGTAAAACTAGTCAGTATATGGTACACTGTTAGACAGAGACTTGTACCAGCAAGTCTTTGTAAGGCTTTTATCACTGTTTGAATGCTGGGGAGATTCCCCCCTCGGCCCTGCTGTCATAGTGACAAGAAACTTTCTTATTTTAGCACGGTTGCCATATTTGTTGGATATCAGCAATTCCCCTAACTAAATGATTAAACCTTTTGCTTGCAATTGCCTCTTATTCTTAACCACATACTACCAGAATCCGAAAAAATACAGATCCAGCATGACATGTGAAATAAAAACGAATATATATGTCAAAAACTGTACAAGCAGAAGCAAATTTATAATTCATTTTCTAGGGTGACAAGCTTTAATATATACTCCTCACCTACACAAAACAGCATATTAAAGCCATGTCTGAAATGACACTGAATATGTCTTAAAATCCTATATAAACTGTCTGTTAAAATTGTCAGGAACATTTGGATTTTCCATTTACCAATACCATGTTTAACTGGGGAATTTATGAACCATGTAACAGGTAGTGCAGGAAATAAGAGGTGAGTACTACTGAAACATGTTCCATATGATCTTAAAGCTTATTTTGAAATGTCTACTACTCCAATGGGCAAAAGCTGTACAAATGTTTTTGTTTGGCAAATGTATGCAGAAATATCAGTAAACAGCTTTTGGCCCTGTGTTGATGGGATTTTTTTTGGCTTCAAATGGGTTTTGTATTGCCATACAAGTCTCTGAGAATTCAATACCCGCTTAAGTCAGGTGAAATATAAGTCAAAAGTAGGTCAACTGCACCTGTCAATAAATTCTGAATGATCTCAGAAGTGTCTTAAACTAATGTTAAACAGCATTGACACATGCCTTGCACAAAAATATATAAGAGGAGAATATTAGACTTACCAAGTCACATGAAAGGTGTGCAGCAGAAGCTATAAAACCAATTTACCTTCTTCAGCACACAATGGTAGAGGTAATGACACATGAGTGTGCTTAACGCTATTATGTAAACTTAGTGCATATTGGGCAAGGTAAGAAACTGGAGTTGAAAAGACTTAAACAATAATCGTTTTATCTCTACTAATAAAACAAAAAAAGAATAGTGATAACCCAGCTCTCCCAGTTGCAGGATGTAACAGAAGATGCCCTGACATGCAAAAGTGGATGTGCGTGTTGAATTTCTTCAAGAATCATATTTCCTAGTGTGTGGCCACCTGTACTCAAATTGTAGAATAGGATTTTTGTGCTTACCATAAAATCCTTTGAGGGACATAAGAAGTCTTTAAACTGCCATCTACTGGAGTACTGGACACTGGCAAACAAAAAAATATAAGCCAGGTCAAGATAGCCCATCCTACTACCAGTCAGTTTTGTAGCAAAGCAGTAGAGAGAGCATGATCATTAACAGAGAGGGGAGGGAGACTTGTGTGCCTCAATGGACTGCATAAAGAAAGTTTTTAATGGAGAGCACAAAAATATGACGTTCTTTCAGTCCATTGAGAGACACCAGAATTCTTTCACCTTGGGGCATTCGAAAGCAGTGCAACTGGAGGGTGGAAAACACAGCAAACAAACACGAACAGAAAGAACACCCAAGAAAACAACAGAACAAAGGTAACAGACTGCAGCTCAAACAACCTGCTGAAGAACCTTAAGCCAAAGCTGGCATTAGATGAGGCCCCAAGAGTCACCAGGTAAAACTTACAGAATAGGTGAAAAAAGAGCAGGTAGCAGCCTTTCCAATCTAGGAAACAGTTAATTGATGCTGAAAAGTCCAAGAAGTACTCACAGATCTAGTAAAGTGCACCTTGACAAGAAAGGATGGAAACATGATCCTTCAGACCATAATCTTGAATTATGGTCTGTCTAAGCCACCTAGAGATGGTGGAATGAGATGCTGGTGCACCTTTATGGGGAATCAGTCTTTCTGGAAGAAGCACTGGCTGCAAGAACTGATGTGGGACAAAAGGGACGAAGGCCAATGTCCTGCATGAGATGAAAGGCAGAAACTACCTGTGTGACATTTCACCCAGCGGATGATGTCCCACAGTGTTAACCCCTTTCCATGGTGGAAACCTGTGATAAACTGAGATATTTAAAAGTGTCCAGTGACCTATACTTGAGGTAGCACCTGGTGCACGGTTCATTTGTCCAACTCACTAAGTGAGGATTCAGAGATATGGCAAGCGCTGAGGCAATGCCAATGGTTCTGGACCTACAGAGCACTCTGCAACTAAGTTTTTACCAGAATGGAGTCTCAAAAGCACCCTGTACTGAACCCAGTGTTCAAAGATCACTTCCAGGCTATTCCTGCAATGTCCAGCCCAGTGGAGTCTCAACACAGTACTCCAACATCAGACTGATAATGATCACACCAGAAAGCTGCAATCAAAGAGAGCAGCAAAGCAGATTCTTGACTGAAGAAAACAAATCGAGGAAGAAAAAAAGTGCCAGGTTAAGGATGGCTTGCCGGATAGATTCAACCGAAGAGGCCATCTCCAGCAACAGTAAAGAGAAGAGTCTTGATGAAGAAAAAAATGTTAAAGAGTAAGAAAAATTGTGTTTTGCAAAAAAGAAGTTAGTCTTTTACACAGCAGAGCTAAAGGAAAGATTTCCATGTTACTTGGACACTAGCAAGGAAACAAAGGCATGCTGGTAAGTAGGAGGGTTTATACTGGGCTGGTAAGTAGTATAACCGAAAGGTGAATTACCGTGTCCCTCAACAGAAAGCAGCTTTATTTCAGTATGTGCATTAAAGACCTACTTTAACCTGCGCTTAAAAAAAGGAATAAGGAAAATTAAAAAAATAAATAATACCTGTACAACCCTTACTAATAACATTTCTTCTGGATGGTTAAAACAAATCTCTAACCTAATTCAGTCACAGATGGATGAGAATCAGAGCTGTCAAAGAGCACAAGGAAAGGGGATGCAACATGGATTTTCTGTCAACTTTTCCTTCAAAGATGTCATGTTGCTTGACTAATGTATATGGCTTTGTTCATAGGTATGTAATGAACTGACAATAATTGTATGATTTTGTTAATTACAGCTGACACTACAAGCAGAAGGGTATGTTATTGTGTTCGTCATAACTAACCAAGCATAATAACTCAATATTGGTTTTTACTTTGAAGTCAAGGCAGGACAGGGCCAGTAAGGGAAAATAACTTATTAATGCGTGTGATGTGTAATGCTGGAGCCACTGGATTAGAAACCTATTCGGCGTTATCTATTAATCAAACATAAAGAGAAAGCTTTTAAATTACCTTGGTCCTTTACCGCAGCCGATTCGCTCTCCTTTGAAGTACACAGCAACAGTATAGGTTCTTGCATGGGAAGGGCCTACAGTTTGTAGAGTCCTGAAACACGATAAAAATAGTTTTCAATTTGTTATTATTGTGCACTATCTGTACAAGAAAAATTGGAGCTTTAACGTTAGTTTTGAATGCTGAATATTTGAACTTTGCCTTATGATCTCTTCATAACATCTAGAAATTTATGTGAAAGTTTCTGGAATTTATATGAACACAATATATGTGAGATAAAGTTCTAACTGCAAAAAGGAGATATATTCCTACACACAGCTGACTTTCTGATAGTAGTCACATTGAAGGGCACAGCAGTCATCTTCTCCTTCTGGCAATGTTGATAAAAAGGAACAGTTTAGACTCAAAGGGTAACTCAAGCTTATACCATGATGTTTTTAAACAATGTAAAAGTGTCATTACTGCCATGTTCCATTTATATAATGTTAAAAAGCTATAGACAACAAGGAAAATTATTGCTGCTAATGTAATCGAGGAAACATTACTGTCATTCCAAAATCAGAAATGTACACGGATCTTAGTGTTACATATTTTTGTAGCATCTACTGCAGCCAAACAAAGCAAAACTTCTGAGGGGGGCTGAACCTTACTAACAATTGTTTTGTGCTTCCCAGAGACTGGAGTACAGTCAAATCAGAGGGACAATTTTCTTTATCTGCTCAGAGTGATTTTTCTTAAGATTAAAGAAAACCCTGTCACCAGCTGCAAAGTAGAACCCTTGCTCTTAGCAGGGAAGCAGTGGTCTCACTGTAGAAGTCCAACATGCCTACTGAGTCAGACCAATAGCTCTCTGCAATCAGCAAAGCTTATGCTCCCCATTGACTGTAGAACCCTGGCCCAGTGGGGGGCATATCGGGCCTCTGCAAAGAGATCACTGCTTCCGTACAAAGAGCAAGGGTCCCACTCTGCAGCAAGCTGGCAGAGGACAGGCTTTTCTACACTTTTTTTATGTAGAACACAAACTGTAAGACTGTACCACAGTTGAGCTAACTTAAACTGAATGTTCACCTGGCCTTTAAGCACATTCAGTGCATTGAAATGATCAGACTAACCTGTAAAGAGCAGCTCCATAGTCTCACAGAAAACAAACTTTCATGATAATATACATACCCTGCCTCTCTTCAGGCCAATTTTTGTTGTCCAGAATTACTTAAATACATGCATAATGTAACAGAAGTTATTTCTATTGTCATCAGTAGTGAAAAGCTATAATTGTAAGTAGAGCAGAAGAAATGTATGCCATCAGGTATCAACAACTTTATTAATTCTGCATCTCTCTACAGTAACCTTTTTTGGTCCTTGCATGCAAAATACTGTTCACAGTAGTTTTGTGCACGCTTTCTATTCCATGTATTACATTTCAGGTCATTTCCTCACAGTACAAATGGGGCAGAGACCAGAAGAAGTACTTGTACTAAGGTCTCGTTCACACCTAGGCGTATTGCATATGCGCATCTGTCGGGCAACCGTCGCACGTTTTTTTACTGCGATTCGCAGTAAAAAAAGTTGCGCGACCGTCGCGCATTTCTGAAGCCTACTTGGCTGTATCCCAATGGAAACGCGCAACAAAACGGCCCAAAGTAATACATGTACCTTTTCAGTCGTGGGCCGTTTTGTAGCTCGTTAGGGAAGGGCGGAAATACGCCAAGGTGGGAATGAGACCATTGAATACAATGGGATTTATATTTTTGAGCGTTTTGTAGAGCGTTCGTCGAGCGTAGAACGCGCTACAAAACGTTCAGGTGTGAACGAGGGCTTAGATGCAATCAAACAATAGAATCACAGTGTTTGATAACATGCCTTCCTGCTATTCCACATAATTGACAACATCCTGCTGCAATATGCATGTATTCAGTAAAACAGACATTTGGAGAATATTGGACTGTAGGGAAACTGGGGAACCTGAGTATTTAGAAAGGAAGCTCATGGTGAAATGGTTAAATTGTCATAAAAACAGACTCGGGTAGAATTCAACTGGATTGTCCAACAGGACCAATCTTTCCTTTATTATGAAAACAATCAGTAACTGATCTAACCACCCACTTAATGCAATTTATTTTGGAACAATGCAATTTCTTTTACATATTTTAAGATGTGTGGTCAGTGAGTATATTTCCAGTAAATTGACTACTCTACAACTAAGCCCAATTGGATAAAATGTGTTAGAGCTGAGTGACTAGCAGGAGAGGATCACAAGCTTGGAGCTGACTGAATTTAACAAAAAAAAGAAGTATTGGGTGAAGATTGACAGTGTGCGGCTGTCTTTTTGATTGCATATCCAGTAAATTAAGTTATAATCCTATATAGGATGAATGACACACTAGAGACCTTTGCTTTCTTTTGCTATCCTTATCCTTGAAATCGGCACAGCTTATGTATGGATGCCTTTTCTTTAAATGACCTATCCCTTCTGGCAGCATGAGATATTTCCTAGCTATAAAAGTCACTTATGTCCAGCACATTGACAGATTATTAGTGTCTGAGAGACCACTGAATGGAAACAAGCTTAGAAGGAACCTGTCATAAAAGAAACAAGGAAGCATGCATTGCTGTTCTCGCCTACTAAAAATGCTAGTTTACTGGCTTTCATGCTGACTTTTCAGCTTCAAAACATTAGAATAATTGTGCAGATAAAAACTTCTGACCTGTGCTTGAATTACCTAGTCTGCATACTACCGCTGGGTCTGTCAGTTAGAAAGTATTTAAATCTGGGGGACAGCAAAACAGCCAGAAAAACAGATTGACAAAAAAGTTAGCTCAAATATTTCTCTCATGACAGGTTTCGTTAAAGGAGATCTTTCATCTATGCTGCTTCATAATATAACAGGGAAAAGGATGAACTGAATTCTGATGGAATGATATTTTTTTTGGGTACTTGCCGGGCAAGGTGTAATGACTCACCACCTGGCTTTTTTATTAGCCGGATGATGTGTAATGACTCGACTTCCTGATTAACTGGCTCCATGCTCCCTCGTCACCAGGACGAGAAAGCATGGAGCCGGCTTTCTGGAAAATCAGGTAGCCGGGGGGCACATTATGACTCGCCGCCTGGCTTCCTGATTGGCCAGCTTCCCGACTGGCCAGTTTCCTGACCAATCAGGAACAGTCGTGCTTACAGACCAATATTGGATCTTGATTTAAACAGTGCCTACAGATTAAGGCATAATTGAACAAGACACATAAAATTGACTTGGTGTATTCATTCTCATAAGCTAAATTAATGAAAATGCAGTTTTGTCACATGGAAAAAGTAAGTACACTCCTCCATTTACCTCCCACTTTATTTTCATGAAATAAGAATCTGGTGTTCCAGATTAGGTGGCAATGATGGCAACTCCTTTAAGGAGTATGCAGGTGGAACTGGTCCCATATCAACTTCAGACATCTAGGGTCAGGTGTTCTTGTTGTTATTGACATGTGTGATATAATCATGCCAACATGAAAAAAGCTCTCTCAGACACTCAGAAAGAAGGTTGTGGATGTCTATGGGTCTGGCAGGGGATTTGAAAATATTGCCATTTTTTTTTTTTAATCAATCATTGCACTGCAAAGAAAATACTCTACAAATGGTGTAGATTTCAAAGTGCTAAGTAGCTCAGGACTGGCATGCCAGAAAATTAAACCCAAGAGCTGATCATAAGATGCTAAAAGAAGTCTTGAAAACCCCCAATTTTTAATTGTGAAGTGCTCAGATAACTCCTGCAACAGTTGGGATCAACATGCATGCATCTACAATCAAAAAGACTGCATCAATTTAACTTGCGTGGGAGTAGAGCCAGGAAAAAAACATTTGCTGTCCAAAAAGAAAATAGAGCAAGACTGCAGTTTGCGACAGAATGGTCACCCAAATGCACACTTTCAATGTGGAATACAACTAGGAATGCTGGTGCACTGTGCGTCATGTTACATTCAGCTCAAAATTAGGGCACGCCAAAGGGATGACCAGCTCCCTGTGTAATGCCCACACCCCCCATTGACAATCACCCCTCCCTTATGTAGAACCTGCACTTGTGACTATACTGGGGGTGCACAAGCAAGCTGGAAGAACAGAGCTGCGATTTGCAATGATTAAAGAAGGACTCCAGGCAAAACTTTTACTGACCCTTGCAGTGGGGGTACCCCTGCATTGCAAGGGTTCCTTTTTGAATAGACGCTAACATAATAATAAAAAAATAAAAGTTATATTTATGTGAACTGCCAAGCCGGCTGCCTGCTTCTCTGGTTACTGCAGCCTGTCTCCTCCTAGACTGCAGCATTGGAATGTTCCTCAGTATCCTCACGTGTATACACTATGTATAGAATGTGATGATTTATAGGACCTTAGACCGCTGCAGCGGAGGAGAAGGGAGGCTTCAGGGACCGATCAAAGAGCAAGTTGGCTCTGAAGTTCGGGTGGGTATAACCTAGACGAGCAGTTAACCCAATAAAGAAGGCAACTGCTTTAAATTACATTATACCCTGTGCAAGAGCATTTTCAGTGGAACAAAATATTTGTAGCTTGGATACAAGCATTGGAGGACATTTATAGGGATGCAACAAAATAAAATATTCAGACCGAAACCGAAATTGACTTTCCCAACCTTTTATAATATTTTTTACATTACTTTTAAATTATTTTAATGTTTTTTAGATTTATATATATATATATATCTTTTTCTGCAGCCCCAGCACTGAATGAAAAGGAAGCTCTCAGTACAGAGGCTTCCTGTTCATTCGCAATCTGGAGATAGTAAGCACAGTCATGAATGGACAGGAAGCCTCAATGCTGAGCTGTTTCCTGTTCATTCCTAAAGTGAGCAGATAGTAAACATTTTTATATAGCACTTCCTGTTCATTCATAACTGGGGCCATAGTAATCACTCAGTAATGTCCTCAGCTATTTACAATCAGTACTGACCAGTCAGTGTTTGTGTTCTGCTCTACATTCTGACTGCTCTGCACCCTCCCGTCTGTCCATGGAGCTGAGCTCTCCTCCCTGCAACACCCCCCTGACAGGTCTCTCCTCCCAGCACTGTTCCACTCAGCCTCCTGACAGGTCTCTCCTCCCCGCTGGGCGTGGGCAGATGGATTGGCTCGGTCCCCCCTGCAATCTCTGCTGCCTCTGCCGACACAGGCAGGGGAGAGCAGTGGGGATACAGACTAAAGCTTGCAGCCGGAACAGCGGGGAGAAGAGAAGCTAGGGATGCACCACATTTTTGTACTATCTGCATTTTACCCATAGTACCATTTTTGGCAGAAAGTTTGGTGCATCCCTAGACATTTAACAATTCTGTGCTTAACAGTAGTAATGAGACAGATTTGTGATAATTAGGCAGCTGCATTTATCAATGCCTCCCTCTATTGCTGTAAAGTAGTGTTGTGTCCTGACCACTTCTTAATTGTGCTTCTGTTTTGAATGCCTTTTCTTCAGACGCAGACCTGTGCAAATCTTTCTCAGTTTGCTACCCAGGACTGGAGGCGCAATGGTGCACATAAAAATCTCATAGATTTTACTGACAGACAAAAAATAAATAAATAACGAAAAACTATCAGAACAATTCCAACCCAGACAAAATATGGAACAGCTAAAGTATCCTGAGAATTTTAGTAATCAGACATTTTTGAGAACACCATGCACTGTCTAGTGGTTAAACATACCTACATTTTTAACAATATTTCATTTCTACATGCACCTTTGGAAGCAAACAATTACAAAACAGGTCTTACTTGTACAAAGGAATATCTGGCTCTTTTCCTTCTGTCCTCAGAGTCAAGCAGCATTGCTGAAGTTGAGATTTAGGATCATTCCAGTCTTGATTTAGAATAAACTCCTGTACACCAGACAGAACAGAAAAATCATTCAGCTCTAAATAGTGTTTGATAGGCGCTTACAAAAACAATGCAGGAGGCAGTAGGAATCACTTGGTCAAATGTATCGGAACAATAATCTTTTGTTATTCAGCCCTGCAAAACCCTAGATAGCATCAATCAGAGTCTGGATGGGAGAACTCCCTTCCAAACAAGTTTTGATTAATCTACTTTGTCAAACTCTTCTGAGCTGTTGATGATTGACTATACCATGTGTGGACTACACAAGTGCCTAAACTCACTCAGTGATGCCCCTTGAGCAGGCTATCTTTACTGAAAAGTGATTTCCCAGTTACTTATTGGCACCCCGAGGGTATCTGAAGAATGTTATCTTTTCCTTGCCAATCTATCTTTGCAAAATACAGCTACAGGTCGTAAATGGAAATGCAATTTTATGTCCGTAGACTTCCTGCACGTACTGGCATTTAACTCTTCTTTGTGTGGAATAAACTGTATCTAGGACTCATTTATTGGGAAGTCTGGAAGAGGAACTATGTTTCTCACAGTATCCAATTAGATTCTTATTTATTTGTAAACCTGCACTGGAAACATGACAGCATAATGACATTAACTATTAGTATGGGCAATGCAGACACGGTTCTTTCAGATAATGAAAAATTCTCATTTTTGTTTCGTGTTTTATGATACATTTAGATAAACAGACACAACAAAAAACAACTACCACTATAATAAATGCATTTACCTTCAGTCGTGGGAAGAAGCACACATTCATAAAAGTGTGAACATATTCCAAGTCCTTATCGATATAAAGTGCCGCAATAAAGGCTACAGGTAAAACACATAGGTTAATACTACACATACAGCTAGCTATAAAAAGCTATAACATAAAAAAAAGCAAAGAGCATATGTTGGTCACATTTTTATAAAATGGAATTAAGTAGTTGGGGCACTGAGTGGTTCTAGATGATCAAACACTAAAAGCAAATGCCAGGCAGTTAAGAGAATGGAGCAGGTTGGTGAAAGGAAAAATTGAAGCACTTTTATTTTCTCTGACACGGAAATGCATTGTAATATTAAATATTTATGGAAGAGCCACCAATGCACCTTTAGTCCGAAAAGACAGAACTGTTCATTACACAGCACGGTCTAATTCTTTTCATACTATTTGCTTCCACTTCAGATGGTGACAGGAGAACACTCTGCTACATGCACATACATTTATTTTACTGCTAGTAGTTGACAGAGGTTTTTGTTCCTTTTTATATCCAGTAATATATTCCTATAGAGACTTTAGTATATGCTCTTTAGTTGGCAAGCAGTTGTTTATCAACAATCTATAAAGCAAACAGTTACATTGGTCTTCATGTTAGGACCAAATGACAAATCTTTCTCCCTGACTCACAGCTCAAATGCACAACTGTATCTTCTGATCCTGGATGCTCACAGTGCCATTTTATACAATGATAGGCTCAGGGTAGATATCTCATGGATGGGCCCCCATGCCATCTTTCGACAATTAAGCCTGATAATACCAAGTATAGAGACAGGGAAGGGAGTTTGCTTTGTGGAACTACAAACCCCACCATGCTGGAACTTTTAATTCTACATAGGATTACATCTCTTTCCCTACCATGTTGTGAGCAAGGCAAGAGGTCAAGAAAAGCATTTATTTATATCATATGATGATCCGATTTGTTTTTTTTTTCTTTACTTTTGGAAAGAGTGGAGAAAGATTAGAGCCTTGTCAGGTATTTGTTGTTATTTCGTGCTCTGTTAACAAGATGTTTCACGGTTGTGGTAACGTATGTCAAAGTGTGCTTTTTAACACTTAGTCCAACACAACAATCTGAATAGTCCCTAATGCTGGCCATATACTGTTCTATTTTTTTCTTTCAACTCGTGGTCTGAATGGAAAAAATAGAACAGATTCTTCCATTAATGCTTACGAGCATTGCTCAAGGAATAACCACTGTTTCTTTTGTATTCTGACAGCAGACTCTTGCCGCTGTCATAATACCCCAACAGAGCTGGCAGCTCATTGGCTGCCGGTTCTGCCCGATCAAAGATTTTCCGACATGCTCCTTCAATCAGATGATCGAGGAATGCCACCCACTGTGCGAAATCACATAATGTATGGCCAGCTTTATTGTCCTGACAACAACTGTTTCACCAGACAGGATGCGAGGGGAAAATATGCAACAAGGACACAAATGTGTCCTTGTTGCATATGGGATTACATTTGGGATCTGAAAGCACGCATTATGAGGCTGATTGTTGATTTTGGTTGTTTACTTTTTTTTTTTATGTTTGCAAATTATCTTCTAATGAGATTAGAGTGGATGGATTTCGTAAAATGGTTTCCTACCCTGTTATATGCTTACCTTAAGTTTAAAAAGGTTTGGAATGTATGGTCGAGCTCTCGCTTGAAGAATAACAAAATATCTGATACACCTTTTAAATGAATATTAAGTATGATTTGGACTATAATAGCAGGTTTCTACTGAACTATATGTAACACTATAATAATAAGTAATAATGTAAGTGTTTCCTTAGGTTTGCATGTTTTTTCACCCCTGGCAACCAATCCGCTTCTCTCTTCAGTTTGTTTAGTTAAGATTTGAAAATGAAAGGTGGATGCCGATTGGTTGCCCTGCACAGGTGCTCCAGATTTTTTTCCGCTCCAGTTTTGATAAATTCCCCTCTGCCTGTTAATTTAAATTCCCCTCCGCCTGTCAATTAACAGGTACCAAAGTGCACTTGCAGTTAAAAAATTAAATGTGTCCAATCAGTAAATATTAGATGCCACCCCGTATCAGAATTAAGATGTGACTGTTATTATTTCCAGCACTAAACCTGTGCCCCTGCCTTCCTCTCTGCTTTCAGCCTACAAATCCCTCTCGCTTTAAATGGAACATCGGTGATCTCTATATATTTATCAAGGCATCTGATGTGATTGTTTTTGCCTTTGTTTGAAACTTACATTCCAACAAATCAGCCAAGGTCTTGGTCCGGAGAGCCACGGGTCTCTTTGTTTTATCGTTTGTAATGGCAAACTCCTGCATACCCAGTTCCTCCGCTACCTTGGCCTGTGTCCTGTTGTTCACCAGTGAACTACGCAGCAGCTGCAAGATGCACAGAGAACAAGATAATGAAGGGAAATAAAAACAGCAACACACTCCAAAATCCTGACATCTTAAAAAATGAGACCACTTAAGATCAGCTTTTAGTGTTCTTTAGAGTAGGTATGCGTCTTCATAACTCAAGCAAAATCTACATTCTATGCCAAAACAACACAAAGGAACTAACAAGCCTATCATGGGATTTTAACGTATTAGCATTTTCCCTAATTTATGTACGCTTTTCTGGCTTAAATTCTGCATTGCTGACTGACTCATAATTTTGCTGAAGAGTTTCCTTAAGCAGAGATCTCTCATTATTTCTAAAGCCATTCTCTTTATTAAATCCGTTCTTCTCGAACTGTCACTCTTTAGGTATTTTAGACAGATTAGGGCACCCAATGTTACATGAAAGATAAATGCTCATTGTGAATAATAAAGAACTTTCTTTTACAGATCTTAGCAATGTCAGTCATGTCTGACAAGGATTGGTAATTATAGTTCAGAATAATATTCACTCCCGACCTCCAATACCTAGTTGTTTTTTTTCATCACAACCGCACATATATCTATATGTATATATAGATATATGTGTGTGTGCATATAAAATACATAAATCTCTGTCATAAATGATTTAGAGAATACTCTAACAGTACTACAGATATGCCAAACTCCACTGTAAAGAACATATATCACAAGATATCAAGAAGTACTACACTTCAAAGCATACAAAACAAAAAAGTAGCACAAATGTGCTCCACTGCTTTATGTTTAAATTCCGAAAATACAGCTTATACTACATTGCTAGTTTTCAATCAAATTGCATCAATAACTTCCTAGATGGGGTATTATTTCTTCCAGAGCCACAGCAAAAAAAACAAACAAAACCCACACATTTTGCCCAGATTTCGTCTTTCACTTCCAAAGCCACAGCAACAAGCTGGCCCCAATTGGGGCCACAAGAAATGGTTCTCACTTTGCCTCCCTTCTATCGGCTTCTTGTTGATTTCTTATTTAAAGTGTAAATAAAGGCAGCATTTCATTTTTGTTTTTTGTTTTGGATAGCGTATGGAGGGATAAGACCCTCTGTCAAGTTGATACTGCTGTTTGTGGCCCCCCTGGGATTCATTCCTCTATTTGTTGTGGTGACCATTTTCACTGAGATAGAGTTGCTCTTTAAAGGGTCCAAAAAAATATTCCCTTCTGCAAACCTTAACTAGCTATTCACTGCAATAAATGAAAACAGTGTTGCATTTGTGTTGATGGGGAGCCAATAGCCAGCTAGGTCGATGCTGAAGAAATGATTATGCACCACTAGGAGGGTCCTGCAGTGAAGATCATTGGAGTGCCATTGTTCAGGTAAGAATATCCTATTAGCAAACTTGGTTTCCACATGGAAGAAGGGTTCTGATCAATAATCACACTAATCCTTTAGTCCCTTCCCGCCCACCATCTGGATATGAATGTTCTACCAGCAAGTGTGGGAGTATATTAGCAAATGTTTAATTCTTGCAAGCTGCAGAACTACCCTGGTGATTACTCTGATCCCTTGATGGAGCAGCAGACTGCAGTGTGGGGGGGGGGGAGCCTACTGGATTTCATTGGTAACCATTTTGTGTGGTTACTAATCAAATTATTTGCATGATTAACCCTTGCACTGCCACCCCCTGCAGCTGTTTTACAGTGGTGCAGGCTTATCCTCCTGTTTGCCCATGTGTGATTCACTGTAGAGGTGAATCGGCTGCCTGATCACTACTGTATGTGAATGGGGAGCTGTGTGGGCTGGTGAATGGAATTCAAACACCTCCAGGTCTCTACACTCACCTTGCTTCTCATGACCTGGGAAATCCTGTGTGGTAGCATGTTCAGTGTGGCAGTGACCTGGAACCACTGTTCCTATCCTCCTTCTGCTTAGAATTAATTCAGAAGTGCTTAGCTCTGAGCACTTCTGGGTTCAGGGCTGTCAAAGTTCCAGTAGAGATGCTAGGTGAACAAGCAGATCAGCTCTCTCTACCCTCGATCTGTTTGTACTATTATTATACAGGATTTATATAGAGCCAACGGTTTGCACAGCGCTTTACAACATAAGAAAGACTTTACAGTTACAATACAATCCCAGACAAGATGGTAAGGAGGGCCCTGTCCATGAAAGCTTACAATCTAAAAGGTACTAGTGGCTGGAAAGATATCAAGGGTTTAATACAAACCCAATATCTCCCTAAAAAAGTATCTGTCATCACAAAAGGGGATTTATTAGCTCTTTTGTGATTGTAGCAAATAGAACAAGTAAAAAAAAAAAGTAAACTTCAAATAAAGAAAAAATTGAAAGCCACCCCTTACCCACACACATGGTCAGGATGCACCCTTATTTTAGCTTAACTCTGAATTAATCAATTCAATCAGTTTTTTTTAATTGAAACTGAAGCCAAAACATACAGTATTCTTTAGTTCTGGATAGACTTAGGGAGGGTTATAACCCCTATGAGCTTTTTTGCCATCTGTATCCCATTAGGGAGATTTATTTTCTCTCTCGCGCTGAGGGCCACAAAAGGAAGTGAGAGAAATCCCTGGAGGTCAGCAGGGTCACCAGAACTAGTTTCCCCATTGGAAGATTTCACATCTATTCCTGTTCTGATAAAAACCCAAACTTTGGGATTTTCTTTCACTTTCAGTGTTAACGGTTACCAGGACAAATGGGGGGGGGAGGGGGTGAATCTCCCCATCAGAGATGCAGAGAGCATTAGAAACCTTACCACTTCTCTAGTACCGCTCAAGTCCATCCAAAACAAAAACATGGCTTCAGTTGTATTTGTTTTAACAATTATTATTTGCAATTTTGGGTATAATTGTTTTTTGGGGGGGAATTTCACAAGGCCATGTAATTTCAAGCCTAGATAATTTTTAAATAAAATATTTTTTCCCCCATATAAGTTTTTAATCAATAAATGAAAGCAAATAATACAGAGAGGTAAAACCAGGCACAAAACAACAAAAAAAGAAAAAAGTGGCAAATCCAAGGGAATATAACATAAAAATACGTAGACTCTATGTGCCCCAACAGAGAGCGGAAAAGAAGAAGGGGGAAAGGAAAAGACAAGAGAGTAGAGAGGATAGACTAGAGACCAAAGGAATAGTCCCGCGGCTAAAGAAAAGTCTACTAGGACACTCAGTTCAACATGCTCATTTACAAAGTAAGCAAAGATCAAAACGAGGAGGCAGATAATGTCGAACCCAAGGAGACCAACGGGCCTCAAACTTGGCCATAGTATTGTCAAGCTGAGCAGTTCTCTTTTCATTGGTCATCACCCATGCGACTCTCCCTTTCACATTGTGAACACTCATGGTCTATTTATCAGCTTATAACAAAAATGTGATCTCAGTATTTTGAAAAGACTTCAGCTTTCATTTTTTACTTTAGAAATTACTTTTATATATGTCCAAAATTGGTCATGCATGGACATCATAAAATGTACCTGCAAAATGAGACCAGCATTTAATAGAGTATTGTTGGCTTGTGTTTTAACACACACATTTTCTGGGGTAAAAATGTTAAGTGAAATGTGTTTATTATATTCTTCACACACTAACATCTATTTTTAACACCATAGAGTGCATTTTGCATCTACTGTATGCAGATAACAAAGAAATTCAAAACATTACATTACAAGGTCAGAGTGGGAATAGTTCAGGGTTTTCTTCTTGATTTTTTTTTTTTACACACCTTGGATAACAAGGCCGGCCTCCTGTTCAGCAACAATGAAATAATGTAAAATATTCAAGTGCTGAAAGGAAGCAATAGCTTCCATCCAAACCTGTGGATTCACAACTGCTATCAATGAAGAAAGGTTCTTCATAGTTAAAGGAGAACTATGAGATGAGTGATTTCCACTCACCTCATAGTTCTAGCCGACCTGTGACAATGAGACTGTCACAGGTCGGCTCAGTAGACATATGTACACACTACTTAATAGTTATTTTCTTATTCAATAGCAAGCTTCAAATGTATTGTGATTATAGGTGGTGAAAGGTAAAGCCTTAAAGTGTATGCAAATCCTAACAATGAACTTAATTTATTTGCTCCCTTTTCATATATATATATATATACACACACATATAGATATATATATATATAGATATATAGAAACAAGGGTTTCTCCACCAAGTACTAAGTCATGTTTTGCTTGGCGATCAAATACTTATTTTACTCACTGAACTGCAACTCAATTCATAACATTTGTATCATGTGTTTTTTCTGGATCTTTGGTTAATATCCTGTCTCTATCATTTAAAATACACATATGATAAAAATTATAGACCTTTCATTTCTTTGTAAGTGGGCACATAACTATTTTCCTCACTGTATGGGATGCACTAAAATAGATTTTTTAGACCGAAAATTCAACATTTTAAAAATTATTATTTTAATTTTATTTTTTCAAACTTTATTTTTAGGAACTTTGGGAAACTACCAGGGCCCCGATGTTTTGCTTTTGAAATAGAAAAAGAGATGGAGGACACAGTCCTAAATCTTTTTTTCTGCAGCTCCTGTTATGAATTAACATGAAGCCTCTATACTGAGCTGCTCCTGTCTATTCATACACTGAAGAGATAGTACCAGTTAATATGTCCACAATCATGAATGAACAGGAAGTGATGTAGAGCACTTCCTGTTCATTCATAATTGGGGACACAGTAACTAAATACTATGTTCTAAGTTATTTAACAACATTGGTGTAGTCAGAACTGATCAAACAGATGATTCAGCAGTACATGGAAGGATCAGCAAATATTTCACATATTTTCTGATCCTCCTCACTCTCCATCCTGAACCATTCCGCCCTTCCCATAGCTCTCCTCCTCCCCGCTGGGCGCCAGCAGCTGGATCGGCTCTGTGTCCCTTCCAATCCCTGTTGCCTCTGGTGACACAACCGGGAAAAAGCAGTGTGGATCAGATGGCTCCGTGGGTAAGAGAAAACATGGGGATGTACCGCATTGCCAGCCATTTT